AATTGTGTATAAACATTCAATTGCAAAAATATAGTATTCTCTAATTTAATGCAACATGACAACGTAAGCGTCGTTTAATACCTTCTGACAAGCCCACTAAAAATGCGAGTAATAGCATCTTTATCGATCTCACGCATGATGACGATGATATTGGTAATGAGATAACTCATGCAAGTAATACTGCAAGTTCTGTGATTGATCTCACACTTGATAGTACAATTCAACTAAGCACAAAAAAAAAGAAAATGTGGTCGACCTAGGAAAACAACTGCACAATCTTCAGTAGTATCTGGTAATTTTTTACCTATGTATTTTTAATAGACACCAAAATTTATTCGTAATGAAAATGATTTTCTAACATTTTTGTTTGCATAAACAGTTACAGAATATTGGGACATGGGAGATGCAAGTTTTCGTTGTATGTACTGCGGTGCAATTTTTTGGTATGAGGAGAGAAAGGCTTATTATCAAAATGCAGTTGTGCCTGAGTACACCGATTGTTGCACGAACGGCAAAATTCAACTCCCTCTTTTGAAAAATCCTGTCCAATTTTTGAAAGATTTGCTTCATGGAGATGGGCAATCAAGCAAACATTTTCAAGATAACATAAGATCATACAATAGCATATTTGGCTTTACTTCTTTGGGGGAAAGATAGATTCAGATATCAATAAAGGGACTGGTCCACCGGTGTTTTCTTTACATGGACAGAATTATCATCTAATCGGTAGTTTGCTTCCTTCTAAAGGTGCTTCTCCAAAGTTCGCACAATTGTATATATATGATACAGAGAATGAAATTTCTAACAGAATGAATGCTGTGAGGTATGAATTTACTATATTTTTTATACGAACCTATATATGTCATATCATATTTAATTAAATTGATTCTTAATTAGAATATTTAAATACATTCAACTTACAAATATTATTTAATTATTGATGTGCAGGAATGGATCTGGAAGTAATAATTTGCATGAGGATATTGTTGTTGGATTGAAACAAATGTTAGACCAACACAACGAATTGGTCAAATCATTCCGTATGGCCAGAGATAGGATGCGAGAGCTTGGAGAATCAAATGTTCGAGTGCGTTCGATTGGTAGGAGATACAAATATGCTAGGCAATATAACTTTCCTACGAGTTCAGAACTTGTTGTACTGGTTGTTGGCGATTTTGACCAGGCTTTGGGTGAAAGGGACATATTGGTAGAAACTATGAGTGGTCATCTTCAATGGATTAATGAACTAAACGCTTCCTACCTGGCATTACAATATCCTCTTCTGTTGCCTTATAGTGAGGATGGGTACAGAGAAGACATACCTTTTAGGGAAGGCACACCATTAAGACAAGATGGTCGAAAACATGTCAGTGTAAGGGAGTACTTTGCATATAGAATGCATGATCGAGAGCATGAACCTCCGACAATTGTTTCTTCTAGACGACTATATCAACAATTTATTGTTGATGCTTATACCATGGTCGAATCCGCTAGGTTGCGATACATACGTCTTAATCAGAAGAAGCTCCGTTCTGATTTGTATAATGGTGTGGTTGAGGCCGTGCTTCGTGGCGACACCGATCCCAGTACCATAAGAAAGAGAATTATTCTTCCTTCATCATTCACTGGTGTTGCTCGAAATATGATTGAAAACTATCAAGATGCAATGGCAATTTGTAGATGGGCTGGGTATCTCGATTTGTTTATTACATTCACTTGCAATCCCAAATGGCCAGAAATTGTTCGTTATCTCGAGCCGAAGAAATTGCGAGCTGAGGATCGACCAGATATCATGTGTAGGGTATTTCGAGTGAAGCTTAAGGAATTGATTAGGGATTTCAAGCAAAAGCAAATATTTTGGAAGGTAATAGCAGGTGAGACATTTAATATTCTATCTAATTATTAGTCATTTATTAATCATCTACACAATATATATTTATCTTTTGTTCAATTTTTTATTTTTTAATTTATAATGATAAATACATTGTATTTCCTTTCTCTATTTTTTTTTTCTTTGCAGTTATCTACACGATCGAGTTTCAAAAACGTGGATTACCGCATGCTCATATATTGTTATTCATTTCGAAAGAGTCGAAGTTTCCCAACCCATCAGACATAGACAGAATTATATCTGCAGAGATACCAGATGAATCTTCTGATCCTCAATATTACGAGGCCGTAAAGGAGCATATTATCCATGGGCCATGTGGTCTGGCAAAAAAAGACTCGCCGTGTATGGTGGATGAAAAATGCACCAAAAGATTTCCTAAGAAGTTTGTTGACGCAACAACAGTTGACGAAGAGGGTTATCCACAGTATAGGCGTCGTGACAATGGAACTTCTATAGAAAAAATGGTATTGTCGTGCACAACGGTTTTGTCGTACCCCATAACCGACGTCTTCTTATGAAGTTTGGAGCGCATATTAATGTTGAGTGGTGCAATCAATCACGATCGTGTGACTGCATCATTTTATAAAACTTCTGCCGAATCGGACATCGAGAGACCGTTGGATGAGATAAAAATGTATTATGATTGTTGGTACATTTCGTCATGTGAGGCAGCATGGAGGTTGTTCGGTAATGAATTGCAGTACAAAAAACCTCCCGTACAGCGCTTGAATTTCCACTTATTTGGAGAACAAAACCTATTATTTGACGATCAAGGAAATCTTCTAAATGTTCTCCGTAAACCAACTGTTGATCAGAGCCAATTTCTTGAGTGGTTTGAGGCAAACAAAAAATATCCTGCGGTGAGGGAACTAACGTATGCTGAGGCTCCGTCCAAGTTTGTGTGGAATACAACAATAAGGCAATGGACTCCTCGAGCAAATGAGGACCAACCCTCTGTAGGTCGTTTGCGGTACGTACCTCCTGGGTCTGGAAATAATTATTACTTGCGATTGTTGCTTACTGTTGTGCGTGGGGAAACATGTCATGAGGACTATATGAAGGTCGATGACGTCCAATATCTAACGTATCGTGATGCTTGCTACGCGCGGGGTTTGTTAGAAGACGACCGAGAGTATATAGATGGCATAACCGAGGCAAGTCAGTGGGCATCTGCAGACGCCCTTAGACGCATGTTCGCATCATTGTTGGTGTCCGGTTCATTTGGCAGACCAGATGACGTATGGAATAAGTGTTGGCAATGTATGTCTGACGACATACTATACAGACAACGTCGATTGTTTAATAACCAAGGTACTCATACTTTTCATATATCCATATCTATATTATTAGTGAATGATTTTCAAGGTTATATACAATTTTTTAATAAGATTTAAATTGTGTTGATTTTCTTTCTTTTTTTGTTATAGATTTGCTCCTTACTGAGGAACAAATTCAAAATCTTGCTCTTGCTGAGATTGAGACTTTGTTGAGACGCCATGGTACAAGTCTTCGAGAATATGAGCCTATGCCATTTTCGGATAGGGACAACATGCATTCAACTTCGAATCGTCTGATATTAGATGAGTTGAATTATGATCGAAAGGCCCTCGCCGTTGAACATGATACGCTTCTTCAAAATATGACAGATGAACAGAAGAGTGTCTACGCCAGAATTATGTCTACCGTTCAATCAGGCCAAGGTGGTGTGTTTTTTGTGTACGGTTATGGTGGAACTGGGAAGACATATTTGTGGAGAACCTTATCTGCTTGTTTGAGATCCAAGGGTAACATAGTCTTATGCGTCGCATCTAGCGGAATAGCATCGCTTTTGCTGCCAGGTGGACGAACGGCACATTCTCGATTTTCTATACCATTAAATCCACACCAGGAATCTACTTGCGATATCAATCAGTCGAGCCCTCTGGCGGAATTGATAATTCGTGCTTCTCTTATAATATGGGATGAGGCTCCAATGATGTACAAACACTGCTTCGAAGCTGTACAGACATCTCTGCAGGGTATTATGGGAGTAATTGACCCTTCAAACAAGGAAAAACCTTTTGGCGGGAAGACTATTGTTTTTGGTGGAGATTTCCGACAAATCCTTCCGGTCATTCCGAAGGGTAGCCGTCAAGATATAGTTAATGCTACCATAAATGCTTCTGATATATGGAAAAGTTGTATTGTGTTAAGGCTTACAAAAAATATGCGTCTCCGCGGACTTCAAGATTCAAATGAACGTGATGAGCTCGTTGGGTTTGCGGATTGGATAGCTAGCATTGGAGATGGCACTATAGGGGGGTCGAACGATGGTTGTGCAATGATTGACATACCTGAAGATATTTTGCTAGAGCCATCTGATGATCCCGTTGCTCATATCGTTGAAAGCATGTATCCAATGTTTAAGGAGGCCACCGACGATCCAAGTTATTTGAAAGACAGGGCTATATTAGCACCGACTTTGAATGTTGTCGATTCTATCAATGAGTACATGACATCTTTGAATTTGTCGGATGGTCGTACTTACTTGAGCTCTGATAGTACGTGCAAATCAGATTCTAATAATGACTTTCTGCCTGATCTGCATACGCCTGATCTTTGAATTTGTCGGATGGTCGTACTTGATGTAAATTCATTTATTTGATTTTGAATATTTTACATATTTCAATTAAAGAATTACAAAATTAACTTATTCTAACAAAATATTAAAGTATACAACTGAATTTTCAAACAATTGTACAAATTAAAAGATATAAAAAATTTGTATTTTCTATGTAATTACAAATTTTAAATTAAAAAGAAATTAAAGTTTATGAATGTCTTTTTAATTAATTTTGCATGTTTGCAGCTATTTACAAACAAAACGATTTTATAACAAATCCCGAATACAATCCATTGATCAAAATAACTAGTACAATTCACTGGTCAAAACGACTATCAGCTAACTGGTGATTATCGTCAACCCAATCCCAATCCATCATTTTGGTCAACCTTGACACGTGCCTCTCACGTGCTTTCGTGTTGTACGAAATGAGAAAATTGCTGCTTTTCACCTTTCTCCCTTAAATCGGCAAATTCAACCGCTCATCCATGAAAGAAAGACCTGCAAATGATACTCACTCTCATCTTTCTCTCTCTAAACCTCTCCCCTCTCTTTCATTCCGCCATAGCCAGAGGCTCTGCGCACCATCGCTCCAAGAACTCAGGTGCCGCCGTCTCTCTCCGCTCGTGATCTGAGCTGACAGCTTTTTCTATTCTTCAGCTTCAATAAATGAAGCTTTTGATGTAGCTCAACAATTGATATTTTGCAATAATATGCTTAGGATTTTATTTTATCAACACTGATTAGCTGCGGCGTTATGAAAAGAAACTTATGATTTGTGTTTATTAATTGCCAAATGCTGAATTTATGATCTTGATTTATTAGACTGGTTCAGTTTTGTATTATATTCTATGAAGTTCTGCGCTGCAGATTGAATCTGATAGTTGTTTGCAGAATCTGACTCTGTCTATGAGTATATATGGTTACTTCATTTATAAATTCTGTTGGGGTTTGAATAATTTTCATACTTAGGTTCATCAGTACATGTTGAACTTTCAGTGAATATTTATTGCAGAACATTGGTTTTATCTGTTGTCAGGTTACATTGAAAGTACATATGAGCATTCGAGGAGGCGGTTGAATTCCCTGACTGAATTTAAAATGTCTGAGGAAGAGTACATTGAAAAGCTGTAAATTCTTCAGCTCTGATCTCCCTCCTACTTTTGTCAATTCGAATTGTAGGATTAAATTAGCTGATATACTGGCTTGATTGAATCTGAAACAAAATGGATTTGTTTATGTTCTTCAGTGAAAAATTAGCCCAAGGATATATGAGTAATACTGATCTTGAGAGGGAAATGAAGGAATTTAACAGCCGATGTCGTAATATTTCCAGGTTATACAGGTAAATTTTCTGTCTCATGTACCATCCTCAGAAAATATGACAAGGTAATATGCTGCTAACTATTTGTCAAACAGTTGTAGAGAATTCAGACAGTAGCTTTAGCCTTTCACTACATTTGTTAAGGTGTAAACTTCATGATTGCATCAGAGAAAGCATCGATTTTTCACTCATCAAATATAATAGGGTTCTCAATGTATGATCTGCATAACAGTGTTTAGGATATGCAAGCATTATTGATGTCCTCATCGTATTTCCTCTAATTGACCAGGTCATATAGATTCACACGAGGTCGAGATTCTCATTCACTGTTAAATGTCAAAGATGATCAATGAATGACTATCTTCCTATTGCTTAATAAGAAATTTCCTCCAATGCAATTAAGGAACGCTTATAAGATGACTGATACACCAAATTAAGCATATGTTTTTGGCAGAAAAATTGGTGTGATAGCACAAGAAAATCATCATGTTGCTACAACTTCACCAACTTGAGCTTTGGCATCTGTTATTTTATTAGGAATTTTTGCCTGTGATTCATTTTCCTTATATTTAATCAGAACTCAAACAAACTAGCTGTTGGCCTTTTAGTTTCTGCATTTTTGGAGGATTTTAAGCTTTTGCTAGAGAATATTTTCTGATACAAATGAGTATATATTGATACAATACAGGATTTTGATCGTTTCCATGTGTGGGGACTACGATCTAAAGTGAGACGCATGTGTACTGTAATTGTGGCAGAAATTAATAATCCTGCTATTGAACATTGCATTTAGATACGATACTGCATTTCCTCTGGTCCATATATAGAAACTATGGTCTAAGGACTAAGTGGGACGTATTTCACATTCCCCTTTTTGGTGTCTAAGTGAATAGTATGGTGCACACTGTATATTATTTGTGATAGCAAAGAAGTTATATTAGCCTTCTTGTATGTGCGTTTCAGAGGAAGCAAAATAGGTGGTTCCTTGAATACTTATCTGAAGCCCAAATTGTATAAATATCCTGTTTTTGCTTCATTATACTGGTGTTTCGAAGGATTTAATATATTCTAATAAATTCCTGTTTTTTCGTTGAGGGATTGCTGAAATCAGTATTGGGAAAAGTGCACTTGGAGTTCCCTTGGTACTGCTATCCCTCCAAACTCTAGTTTTAACGAGTTGGCACTCTGTGCTGCCGACTGTTGTAGTTTGTCAAATATGAGTAGTTATTACTCAATGACCTTTTCCTTTTTCATTCTTTTTTCCAATGCAGTGGGCATTGGAAATATCTGACATGCCAGGGAAAATAGAGGCTGAGCCGGCTTTCAAGGTGAACTTAATAACCATCAATCCATAGTGTATTGTATAATAAGTTATCTCTGCCAAGTATACGGAACTGAAAAATTCTGGAATAGGCAAAGGATTTAAAAATGCATTTGACAAATGAGAAGGTGTAATATGCTTCATCAGCATACATGTTGATGTATGTGTAGTGGAGCTTATAGCAAATTCTGGGTATTGATTGTCATTTTCAGGCAAACGATAATTTTTTCTGAAAGATTTGCAAGTACAATGGTTGCTGTTAGGATATCAGTATTCATATTCACATTCACTTGGGACCACCACTTATGGGAAAAATACAGCTTAAGTGTCAATGCATTATAAAACTCAAATTATCATAAGATGATTTAATTATTAGTTTTCTGTTTAATCGGTTAATACAATTTTTTTTTTTT